ATGATGTATGATGTATGATGTATGATGTATGATGCATGATGCATGATGCATGATGCATGATGTATGATGTATGATATATGATATAAGACTTAAGATAGTAGATGTAGATAAATTATGTATATATATGTATATTATTTATATAGATATCTAATGACATTATAAATTGTTCTAGATAATATGTATATTTGTATATTTTCATATTTCTTGCAGATTATGTTGGCTTTATCAAGAAGATCATGAAGCTGTTGCAGCATGGCTACAATGAGATCCAGTCCATTGAGATCGAGCTGCGCATTTTGGAGGAGACGTCGGCGCCGCCGTCACGTCCGCGTAAGTTTTAGCTAAGTCTGTCTGACTCTCTCTCTCTCTTTCTCTGCCTTCTCCCTCTCTCTCTCTCTCTCCTTTTAGTTTCAAATACTTTTGTTTGGTTCAGTTAATATCTCTCCTTTATGGGTTCTTTTGAATCTTTCTCGCTCACTTTCTATCTATCTCTCTCTCTCTCTCTTTTTGTTATCTCTGACATCGGGTGTCTGTGTATGCTACATACATATGTATGTATGTATGTATATTCTGGTTTATTTATGTGGCCGACAGCGCGCGATGGCTACATCATCTATTGCTATGGAGACTGCAATCGCAAGTTCGAGGAGGCGTTGCTCGCCCAGAAGAAAACAGGTGATGGCGACAATCTGATGAAGGCCATTTGGCTGGACATGTACACCGAGCAGCTGAGTGCGCGTCGCAAGTGAGGCGCTGCCTCTGTCGCTGCCTCTGCCGCTGCCTCTGCTCCGCCGCTTTCAATGCCAACTAATCCTCGCCAGCCACCAAAACCAATTACTAAACCAAAAAAAAAAAAAAAAGCAACAACAACAAAACAAATGTCCATTGTACATCATAATTTCATGTCTCTTGTTGTTCTTTGTTTTGTTGTTCTGTTTCTTGTTATTGTTCATGCTGTTCTTGTTGTTCTGTTATTCCCGTTCGTTCGTTTTACTAATGCACGCACACATCAATCTATTCAATGACAAAGTAAAAATGAAAATCGAATAAAAATGAAACGCACTGAGTTTTAGTACAAAAACAAAACAAAACAAAACACACACTAAATACACATTTATAAATAAATGCGTCTAGTTCCTCTTAAACTGTGCGAAACTGTCTCTCAAACTGTGTTTGCAAGCGAAACTTCGAAATTTCCCCTACAGTTGCCCACAAACCGTTGCTGCACAGGAATGCTGCTAAAACTGTGCTGATCAAGCACGCTTCAACCTCTCTTACAGTCATTCCCAAACTGTTGTGCTTGTGTGCTTCCCTTGGCGCTGTCATTTGCTCTCAAACTGTTACTGTTCACAGTATGCGCTGCATAAGAATGCTACTAAAACTGTGCTGCTCAAGCAACGCTCAAATTGCCCTTACAGTTATCCTCAAACTGCGTACATTTTGCGTTTGGCGCCAACTGTCGCTAGCCAATGGTCCTCAAACTACCGTTTACCATTAAACTGCACAAGAATGCTGTTAAAACCGTATTTGCTAGCATTACGTTTCGCTTGCTATATTTCTCAAATTATTGTGCGTAAATGGTCCTCAAACTGTTTTGCTTACACTCTGCCCTTTGCCAGTAGTACTTAAACTGTTGTTGAGCTGCATGCTATTCAAACTGAGCTTGCAAGCATTGATTACACTTTCTTTGTAATACTTCTCAAACTGTTGTGCGTTCGCACATTGCTTTTGGCGCTGATGCTTGTCAGTGATATTAAAACTGTTACGCTGCAGAAGATTGTGTGTCAAGCAGTGCTTCTAAAACGTTTATGCGTATGTATGCATATGTGTACGTTGCCTCCGGCTTTGCTAGTCGCCAGTAATGCTCAAACTGTTGTTAAGCTGCACACGAGTGCATTGCTTACACTTTCTGTGCAGTGCTCTTTAAACTGTTGTTGCGTACATTGCCCTTGGCGCTAATTGTCACTTGCCAATGGCGCTCGAACTGCTGCCAACCGTTTTTCGGGTGCATTGCCTTCAATAGTGGCCGCGCCACGCCCCCCTTCCCCCGAGCGTGCTGTTCGCTCTCTGTGTGCTGAGGCACTCAAGTGCCCAATTTGTCTGCTGGCTGCAATTAAGTTAACGCTCCCATTACGGCTTGCTTCCATCGCAGCCAACGTCGTGTGCTAACCCACGCCTAACCACGCCCACTGCAAGTTGTAGCGGCTGCCTGCCTGTCCGCCCCTAACGAAATCGTAACCATTAATGCCACACAAAAGAGCCCATTGAGTGGATACAGATTTTTAAAACTCTTCAATCTCCATTTTCTCTCTCTCTCTCCGTTTCACTTGACAGTTTCCCTGGAGGAATCACAATTTGAATCTCCACCGTTGACGCAGGAGAAGGTGCTGGAGCTGATTGAGCAGGCCTATCCGAGTCCCGTTTCGCCGGAAGATTTGGCAAAGTAAGTAGCGTGCTCTCACTCTCTCTCTCTCTCGCTCTGGCTCTCTCCTTTCAACCAAGTCTGTCCATTTCAGGGACTATGGCTGGAATGAACAGGATGTGCTGCTGGTCATACAATCGCTGCAGGAGCGCGGCCTCATCAAGTCCATGGAGTACAATGCGTACACCCGCATCCATCACGAGGACAAGGAGATCAAGGTGGTCAAACAGATGCCGACGATAGCCTCCAACAAGCAGCCAACGATTGCCATCATAACGGCCCAGTACTGTGAGAAGCTCGCCGTGGACGCCATGTTGGAGAACAAGGAGACGTTTGTTCGCTACACCACAGTCGGTAGGTGGCGCCACAAGTCGCAGAGTGCAGAGTGCCCGCAATGGAATGCGTTAATTCTCTTTCTCTCTCTTTCTCTCTCTCTCTCTCTCTCTCATATATATATCTTCCCCTCGTTGCTCTCTTGTACTCTAACCGTAACGGTACACCGACCATCGCAATTTTGAATGCATTTTGAAAATACCAAATTGTTTGCTTGCCCCTCCCTACGCCCTAAAAAACGCCCGCTACCGCAAAATTTTTAATCAATCAATTAATTACGCAAAATCAACATATATATACGCATATACGTATACCAAATATGTATGTGTGTGTGTGTGTGTGTGTGCATAACAGATTCCGATCCCACTCTAACGAACTCACTCAGAAAATCCAATAAGAAACGCAGATTTGGTAAGCACCCAGTCGCCTAAGACTTACATAACCATATAAATATCCACTATGTTCATGTATATGTATGTACTCTAGCATATATTCAGCTAAGCTCGGGGTCAAGTTCACAACATGTCAATTAACCAAAGACTCATAAAAATATATCTACCCATATGACAATCAATTTCTATATATATAGAGAATGCTAAGTGATATCTGTTGCTGATAATGCCATCAGTATTTTTTTTAGGTGCTCAGTGTAAATAGCATTGGATGTTACACAAATATGTCAAAACATATATCATAAAAAATTAAAATAATAAATTAAATTTGAATCCAAGTAGTGAATATAAAATATAAAATAGATAACAAAATTAATAATTAAAGAGATTATTTAGAAATACAAAATAAAATAATAATATAATAGAAATAAATACTATACAAGTTTAAAAAATTAAAATTAATACATATAAAATTTAATAAATTAAAAACTATATAAAAATTAATATTATTGGTATTCAAAAAAGTAGTAAAGCAAAATAAATTAAATAATAAAAAATTAATTTATTTATTAAAATTAATATCACAAATAATATAATTATTAAAATAAAAGATA